AAAACCGCCTCCAGAGGTTTGTCCTCCTTGTTGTCATAGATCAGAGTGGAGATCACTGTAGCTACATGGTCCTTCACCTGCAGCTCCACCTCGATGCTCCTCAGAGGAACTAAAACAAGAAAAACGCTCAACAGAAATATATAGACCACTGGCATTTTACTGTTGGTCAGTCACACTTTGAAAATTCAAAGAGCAAAAAGAATGTTTTTACAACTACGTGCAGGTTTTCCTTTAGAAGAGGAAACGACTAAACACAGAGTATAAAAAGAGGGAGACCCATTATACAGTTGGTTTTCCATAAAGATCTGTACCTGGTTCCTTCTGGGCAGTTAGCAGACCACAGCAGTTCACCATTGTACCTGTACATTAAGGAGATTGGAGAATTCTTTATAGTGTTTATGATTTGTATAAAGTTAATGCCCAGAAAAGTTTGATTCACAAATAAAATTACTGCACAAAAAAATGAGGGGACAGAAAAAAGAATCACTTGAACCAGATATACATGTTATGGCATTTGGCTGTTTATTTCAAGCTAGCAATAGGAAAAAGCAGGTCATGTCAGAATTTAAATGATTAATAAATCAAATCTTGAAGCTATTCCATGACAGTCACTTTACTGAAGACAGGATAATTGTTCTGGTCATTGTAACCACGCCAAACAACCCCGGCTCTCATTGTCTACCGAAGAAAAAAAACAGGACAACTCTACCTGTGATGAGAAATCTTGTTTGAGGACGGGCGGATTTCTGCGTTTCTGCTCGCTCTGAGTGTTGATTGACGGGAGAGTGAGGCTCGACTACCGGATATGTTCGATTATAGGACTGAAGCACACCAGTTGGGTGGAGCTCGAAGATGACTACAGGTTAGAGGTTTAATCTCATTCACAGATTATGAAATTTCATGTCCCCACCTCCCGCAGGCTATATTTAAATTATTTTATCAGATTTGGGAAAGGAGACCATGACAGAGCGCCTCATGTTTCGGAAATCTTTCATTCAAAGGATGTTACACGGGTCAACTACTTTTAACAATAGAAAAATAAGACTTTTAGAAAAATTGTTTTAAAAAACAGATTATCGAATATAAACAAAGTTCTTTTCAACTTCGGCCAGTATTTTAAAATCAATAATTAGCTCAAGAAATATGAGTTTTAATATAGGAGTCAGAAAGCGGCAGAAGATAAGATATTCACAGGCATATGACTCCCGACCCAACAAAATCTAAGAAAACGGTGTGAAGTGGTGCTAGGAAGACGAGTTATACCATGGGTCTCATTTCTAAACGCGGCAATAGGCACAAAAGCGGGCCTTAAACCGGAATACACCATTTTAAAAGGAGAGACGGACGGATTGATGGGTGGATAAAGGATCGCTGGATTAAACTCACCGGTAGCTCAACATAATCTGGCCCCAGTGGCTGGGCTGAGGGCTGGGTCTGTAGTCAGAGGTGCAGGTGGATCTGGTGAAGGCTGATCAGAACGGGGCGGAGCTTCTTCTTCGTCTTGTTTTATGGCGGTTACGGGGCGGAGCTGCACAGGTGTGTCCAATTAGTAATCAGACCAGCACCGGAGCCAAGACCATGACAAAGTAAAATAGGACTGTTTTTTCTGTTTATATAGTTTTAATTTGCATCAAAGACTCACACGCCAGGGTAAATGATGACTTATATTGGGTAGGGAGTTCAAGCTTTTAAAGACCATATGAGTGATAATATTCAAAGCTCATTGTACGCTGGATGAATAACAGCTCAGGCAAGAAAAACAAACTTGAATCTGCTAGTCATTGTAGTCACATGTATAGCAGCGCACACGTATAAGGCGACAGAGTGCCGGGAATAAAAAAGAAAAAAAAAATTGATGTAAATGTGTGGTCTATGTAATATGTCCATATCGGGGCCTTAATGCCCCTGTTCACTGTGAAAAAGGAAAGGTTGTTAATTAAAATTAAAAAACTGTATTTATAGAGATGATGAAAAAATAATAATAATAGTGACAACAAATGTAAGGCACTTTGAGAAAAAACAAATAAAATACATTGCAATCCAAGACATTTGCTGCAACAAAAAATGGTTCAATGAAAAACAGATCTTGAAAAGAGCTGCTATATCATAGTAATACAGTTTCTCTACAGTTAACTAAAATAAACTTCAGTGTGCAGTGCAAGTACATACATATCATTGTCAATGATCAACTTGAGGGTTCACGTTTAAAACCCGTGTTGAACCTTTGTTTGGAGTAGTTGTGCCCATACTGTCGCTTCTCCTGGAGTCCAAAAAGATGCATGTAGAGTCAACTGATTATTTTAAATTTGGCCAAGGTGTACCCCCTCCAGTCCAACGACAACTGGAAATGGACGGATGGATAAGTAAAAGCAGGTGTTGCAGAGTAATATGGTAAACATTTGTGTTGTGGGTTGTTAAAGCCAGTAAAGCACCTTTGCTAAAAATCTCAGAGTCCCAGAGCATCTTTCTGCACGCTGCAGCCCAGCAGAGCATTTCCAGCATCCACACATTCTGTCTGACATGCTGACAATGAAGAAAGTACATACAAATGTGTTCAGTAATGTTGGAAAACAGCTCCTATTAACCAGAAAACACTTAAAGAACAGCACTTTTATACGAATGGAGGGCCTTACCGTTCTGAGCACGGAGCCACGATGCAGCCTTTGCAGCCAGAAGCTCCCACTCCTCCTTTGCATCCATCTTGAAACCATGAAGCCAGATCAGAGCCAGAATGGTGGCCCACACCTCTTTGTTGATCTATTTTACCACAGAAAAATTAAATATTGAAAAAATATCATCTACAACAAACCACCTCAGTGGAAAAAGGCTCTTAACATGACAAATAAGCTTCAGAGGCAGAGCAGCTGGGGGATACTGTGTGATATGTTCCATGTTATGGTAGTTAGCTTCATGCTCAATATTAAACTGTTGTCACTTTCACATTAGACCTGTTGTGATGCCAAATCTTGCCAGTGACCCACCGGTGCAGGCTTTGCCTTTTCCACCTCTTGGCGGGTCTTTCCCAGCGCAGAGGCCAGAGCCGCATCAAGCAGCCAGCAGCCGGACGCCTTCTGCAGGGAGACCAGCTGCAGCAGAGGGTCTCTGGGAGGCTGCTTGGGTGTAAGATCTTCAAAGACACATACAGACGCATCATTTTAGAGACAGCAGTCAACCTGCCTACCAGCTGTTTGACCTGCTGCCCTCTGGCTGGTGCTACAGGTCCATTAGAACATGGACAAATGGGAACCAAATACTCTCAATGCTAGAACCTTAAACATGCAACAATTAAAAAAAAAACATTTATTTTAATTTTTTAAAATATGAAAACATTGAGTCTTAGTCTCCAGATGGCGTTCAGCTGATCCTTTACCTCCGTAAAATATAATCCCCTTCCAGTGGCCCTCTTGTTAAAGTAAATTTAAAAAAAGCAGAATATTTGCAAATAAACAAATATATACAAGTAAAGGAAAATTTGTTATTTTCCCAAACAACCCACTTAATTCTGCACCTTTCTGTGTTTGCTTCCTCATTCTGAACTTTAAGTTTCAGTTTGTGCATGTTAACGATGAGTCCTCCATGCAAGCCAGAGTATGCCGATGATAGTTAGTTATATCTTTCGATCAAACCAAATGAAAGTCAGCAGCTAGCAAAGCTTCAAATGAGTCTTGAGGATGTTAAAACCTGGGTGACCTGCAATTTTCTAATGGTAAACTGAGATAAAACTGAATTTATTGTTCTAGGGCCTAAGCACCTCTGTGACGCATTATCTAGAGATATAGTTTCCCTAGAAGGCATCGTCCTGGCCTCCAGCACCACTGTGAGAAATGTTGGAGTTATCTTTGATCAGGACATGTCGTTTAACCCTCACATTAAGCAAATCTCAAGAAGCGCCTTCTTTCACCTATATAATATTGCAAAAATCAGGAGCACCCTGTGTAAAAATGATGAAAACTAATCCATGCATTTGTTACTTCTAGGCTGAATTACTGCGATTCCCAATTATCAGGCTTTTCAAAATTCCATTAAGACTCTTTAGCTGATCCAGAATGCTGCAGCACGTGTTCTTACAGGAACCAGTAAAAGAGATCATATTTCTCCTGTCTTGGCTTCTCTTCACTGGCTTCCTGTTAAATCCAGAACAGAATTTAAAATCCTTCTCCTTACATACAAAGCTCTTCATGGTCAGGCACCATCTTATCTTAAAGAGCTCATAGTACCTTACTGCCCTACCAGAGCACTGCGCTCCCAGAATGCAGGGTTACTTGCGATTCCTAGAGTCTTGAAAACTAGAATGGGAGCCAGAGAATTCAGCTATCACGAGTCTTCTGCTGTAGAACCAGGTTACAGTTTGGGTCCAGGAGGCAGACACCATCTCTACATTTAAGAGTAGGCTTAAGACTTTCCTTTATGATAGAGTTTATAGTTAGGGTAAGTCCACCCCTAGTGCTATAGGCCTAAACTTCCGGGGGATTTCCCACGATGCACCGAGCTCTTCTCCTTTCTTTCTCTCCCTCGCAGTGCAACCTCATTCCATTAACACACGTTACGAACTGGACTCTCTCCCTTTCCCGTAGTCGTGTGCTTTCTCGTCCCTCTCCTCTCACCTATCACTTCCTGCAGATGTTCCTGGCTCTGGAGCTGTGGAGTCTGTATCTATGGTTGGGAGTCTCCTCCTATCTCTTCCTGCAGGTGTTCCTAGATCTGTGGAAGCTGGATCTGTGATTGGGAGTCTCCTGCTGTCCCCATGTTCCTACTCTGCTACAATTACAGCCACCGTTCATAGTCTTATTGCTATCATTACTGATATAATTAGTATCAAGATCATTGCCAGTTTTCATCCAGTCTATGTGTTACTGTGAAGGCTGCCTCCCTCTGTCCTCTCGCTCTCTATTACTTGCCCTCTCCGTCTACCACCCCCAACCAGCCGAGGCAGATGGCCGCCCACCCCGAACCATGGTTCTGTTCGAGGTCTCTGCCTCTTAAAAGGAAGTTTTTCATTGCCTGTGTCGCCTAGGGCTTGCTCTTGGTGGGAATTGTTGGGCTTCTGTAAATAACTTCAGAGTAGGGTCCGACCTGCTCTGTTTGGAAAGCGCTGTGAGATACAGTAACTGTTGTGATGTGGTGCTCTATGAATAAAATCTAATCGAATCCCACGACGGAATCATTATGTTATGTTACTACTCATGAAAAAAATGGTCAAATGTCTTGTGTTCTTATTCCAAAAATATGCGTTGATATTCAGCTCTATACTCACTCGATCGGGCAAACATCTTGGAACCTGGCAGGTAAAAAGCAAACGACTGAGTTTAAACATTTTGGCTTAACTGGCTTTTTTGTTGTTGTTTTTCAGCGTTTTGTTCAGAGTGTGAAAGCTAAACAAATAAATGTATATGATCAAAAAACATTACTCAACATACATTCAGCACTCCTCCATATTTTGTTGCTCCCTTCTGAAAGTAAAAAAAAAGCAGAATGTGTAAAACAAAAATACAAAAGTGAAAAAAGGAAAATGAATAATTTTCCCCACAACCCACTTAATACTGCACCTTTCGGTGTTTGCTTTAATTAGCAAAGAGACAAATGTAAAGAATGTCAAAAATAATGTGGTTTCAATCATAACAACACTCCAGAAAGATGCTGCTAGAAACTTATCAACCTATAAAAGTACTTTTTTGGTCTGTTGATGATTTACACTCATGTCTTTTCACCTTTTACAGATGTGTTCACAGTTCCCTTCAGTGTTTCATCTTTCATTTTTTCAATTTTCTTAGCTTTGAAAAGAGCAGAACAGGCCCTTAGGATTGGAGCTGTGCAGTCAGATGGTTTGAAGACAGACAGAAGAAGTGAGGTCATTAAACATACACTGCAATGTAAAAAGTCAGTGAAAAAGATGGTTAAAATATTCAAAACATGATACAAAACATGTTTAAATAATGAGTAATCTGGACATACAAACAAAGCACAGACTAAATGCTAAATAATTTCTAAATATTAAATGCAATATTCATTTACTGCATGGATAGTGAAAACGTCTTTAGTAGTTTGCACCATTATTTGTATTTTTCCATATGCACAAACAGTTTTAAAAACACAAAATTATTAAAGATGAGCCGTTTACTTACCTGAACGATAAGACTTTGCTCTAGGTGCATCCATACACAGATCCACTGAGACAGTGAGATATGTGAAAATTATTTTGGTGAACAAAAAAAACATCTACGTCACAACTATTGAAAACCATTATTTTTAAATAAATAAGCATTCTGAGTGCAAATTAAAATATGAGAGCAAACCTGTTCTAAAAGCATTGAACAAGTTTAAGTAATAGTCAGACATTATTGAAAAATGAACTAAAAATGGTGACTTTGCTGTTGTTCAAAGCGAGTCATATGAGATGACCAGTCAGTATTGTTAATCAGTTATAAAAAATCCAAAGGACATATATCATATTTTTTTTCCTATTGCAGTAACATCAACTGCAATGCAAAAAGTCAGTGAAAAAGATGGTTAAAATATTCAAAACATGATACATTGTGTTTAAATAATGAGTAATCTGGACATGCAAACAAAGCACAGACAAAATGCTAAATCTTTTCTAAATATTAAATGCAATATTCACTTACTGCATGGATAGTGAAAACATCTTTAGTAGTTTTCACCATTATTTGTATTTTTCCATATGCAGTTTTAAAAACACTAAATTCTCAAAGATGAGCCGTTTACTTACCTGAACGCAATATCATTTCTCTAGGTGCACCCCTACACAGAGCCACTGAGAAAGTGAGATATGTGAAAATTATTTTGGTGAACAAGAAAAACATATACCTCACAACTATTGAAAACCATTATTTTTAAATAAAAAAGCATTCTAAGCATTCTAATATCAGAGCAAACCTGCTCTAAAAGATTTAAACCAGTTTAATTAATAGTCAGACATTATTGAAAAATGAACTAGAAATGGTGACTTTGCTGTTGTTCAAAGCGACTCATAAGAGATGACAGTCTCAGTATTGTTTATCATTTATAAAGAAATCAAAAGGACATCTATCATAACGTCAAGATCCAACCAGCACATTGCGTTTTAAATGGACAAGATTCTTCATTCTTTTGCCTCCAAAAAGAAATGAGTGTGTAATAAATCCATAAACACTCACTGGGTGTTGGAACATTGCGGCGCAGCAGAGGTCCTTGAATGGACTCTCCACTGTCTTTGTTGACAGCGATGAAGGCGGTGAAAGAACTGCTCACTCCTGATTGGACACTTAGATCAACCACCTTCTCCTTCACTTCTTTCTTTTCCTGTTCGAGTGGCCTGTCCTCTGATTCCAGGCAGCGAATGACAGTGCGAGCAGCCAGCCTGTGGACCGTTAATCTGCATGCAGGATGGAGGCAGAGGCACAGGTCATATTTACACCTCAGCTTTTAGTCCCTCAAAACCCCTGTTTCCCTCAGATCTTACTCTCTGCTACCTGTGGTGTGAATGGGGGAGGTGAGACGAGAGAGAACAAAAGAATGGAGACTAAATCTATTTATTGTTTGTGCGAGTTTTGCAACATCAACACAGACACAAAAATTAGCAAATGGTCCAGTTTACAGAGCAGGATAACGTGTCCCACTGCCTCTACATGCCCCTATAACTTAAACTGCTTACTTCCTCTGATTAGAAAGGAATTCTACTCTGTTATTTATTTTACCCAGTGTCCTCTGCAGGTTTGAGGCCGAAATGCAGCTGGCTCTCAGAGGGTTGACCTGCAAGGCTGTACTTCACTGTCACACTGCCCACTGCTGCCTCTGAACCCTGAAAAACGTTTCACACATTACAAAATAAGGTCGCTTGGGAAAGAGATCAATGTTTGTGTGTTTTTTCCAACACTACACCTACCGTCCCAGTGAGCTGGGCGTAAATCAGGGACCTTTGACCCTGGAAAAGTACAGTGATTGGTGGAGAGAGAACGGTGGCCGACACCTCTTTTGGTAAACTCCATGTTACTGAGATGTCTTCCACAGCTGGCTGCAATGCAAATCTCAGCGACTGCATCACCTGGAGGTTAAAAAAAAAAAAAGGGGAAAAAATGTATTTGTTTAGTTATTATACCCTCTTTCCCTTAATGTCGTGTATTTAATGGTTACTTACCTTTGGCTGCATCCTGTCAGTTCCTGTGATGAACTGAGCATGACCCCCTCCCTCCTTGGCCAACCCATTGATGAGAGCAGAGCTCGCCCCCTCCCCAATCCCAAAAGAGAAGCACCTACAATACAGTGGTTTGGTTTCAACACACGCAACAGTACAACAAGACAATTCTTTAAAAGTCTTGAGGGTTTAAAATGTTTTTTTTTTTTTTTTTTTTTACCTGTGGGAGCCTGAATTCTTCCTAACAAGAGCTATAACTTCTTTGGTGTTCCCCACCTCTCCATCGGTGAAGACAAACAGCTATGGGAGGAGAAAATATGTTACACCTACACATGTGATGAATGAGCGGTGTGTAATATTGACAAAGGAAGTGGTAAGATATGACAAATACGAGCTTAAAAAACCCCCCCAAACAGGTTGTTCCAGGGTTTAACTTGTTATGTTGTGAGCTCAACAGTAAAAGAAAAAATGCGGAACAGTTTCAAACAATTCAACTGCAGGTGCGTGTGCTCTCACTTGTCTGGGCTGTTTGGGAATGCAGGGCTGGCTGTAAATGTGTCGGAGGGGCTGAAGAATCTCTGTTCCTCCCAGATTAGCCTGCATCTGCTCAACTTTCTTCAGAGCATCCTCCATGGTCTTCTCACTGTACTCCACACTCGTGCTGCCAACAGAACCAAAGTGGGGGGGTTCTCATCTAAAACCCTGCACGGATGCTTTCTGCTCATTTGTGTTCACTTACGGGAAGATGTGCTCAAACCGAGACCCAAAACTATAGATATTGAAGTAGCAGCCCATCGGTAAGCTCTTCAACAGAAGCAGCAGAGTATCCTAAAAGGAGAAACAGTAAACACTGAAGAGCTGTCAAAGAGAGACGGGAAGGTGTTGACTATCCACTTCATGGTCCTTGCGTACCCTTGCACTGCTAATGCGCGTTTCTTGCTGCTTTTGGTTGTTGATGGGACAGCTCATACTGCCTGATCGATCCATCAAGAACACAAACTCTCCACACGATTGAAGTGAGGACATCACAGCCTGAGGGAACTCAGGGTACAGGCTCACCATGGCCACCGCATCACCCATCAGAGTGCCTGAAACACCAAAGCAATGACGAAAGCACAACTAATCTACATACACCAGCAGCATTTTACTAAACCAGGACATCTTCATTTCTATCCAACAACTCGACCCCTCACCAGACTTGGCCGAAGCCTGTCCAGCCTCCACCACAGCAGTGGGCTGGTGGGCGTCTTTGTAATAAATCAGCAGCTCAACATCTCTGTCAAACTTGTGCGCTTCGGATAACTTCACCTGCAGTGAAACACGCAAATGTTTGGTATCTGAACACATCAACACAAAGGAGAGTCTGCCAGCTATACCCACAGTGGCCTGTGTCTGGTCAGCGCTGAGGTACTGAAGAGGCTCCAGGGAGCTGCTGGACTCCACTTTGGAGATGGGACGAGGCGCAGAAACCCGGGCACTAAAGGACAGACTGTAGGGCACCAGAGAGGCTGGGACCGACGTCACCTGGACAGCCACACCTGCAGCACCTGCAGCAGACATGAGACGGCTCACACACCTGTGTTTGATCTGGAAGAGCTTAGTGACGCAGCTGCCGACCAATCATGTCGGACTTCCATAGCGATCATGGTGTTATTACAATGTAACATCTAGGACAAACGTGTTTGCTGAACATGGGCTCAGCTTGTTGGCGGCTTTTCCCACCCTGGGGTTGGTAGCGGGGGTTGAGCACAGCGGGCAGACAGAACCTCAGCCCGTCATCAGCCTGCACAGCCAGCTCAGTGACATACTCCAGCCTGATGGAGGCGCTCTCCCCTGGAGGCAGACTGCCCACACTCATGGAGAATATGTCGGAGCTTTGCTCGCTCTCCTCCAGGAGGAAGGCCTGCTGGCCGGAGCTCAGCGCGTCATCGTACTCCTCACGAGCCTGCAGTGCACAGGAGACGAGTGGGTGGGGTTGACCCCGCCGTGTTTCAGCTTTGTTACAGTAAGTCAGCCTCTGGGCTCAGCTCACCTGCTGTTTCTCCTTCACCTCCGCCACAACGTGCGTCTTTCCAAGCTTTGCACTGAAATGACACACAGCAGCATCTCCTGGCAGAGGGAAGACAAAAACCGCCTCCAGAGGTTTGTCCTCCTTGTTGTCATAGATCAGAGTGGAGATCACTGTAGCTACATGGTCCTTCACCTGCAGCTCCACCTCGATGCTCCTCAGAGGAACTAAAACAAGAAAAACGCTCAACAGAAATATATAGACCACTGGCATTTTACTGTTGGTCAGTCACACTTTGAAAATTCAAAGAGCAAAAAGAATGTTTTTACAACTACGTGCAGGTTTTCCTTTAGAAGAGGAAACGACTAAACACAGAGTATAAAAAGAGGGAGACCCATTATACAGTTGGTTTTCCATAAAGATCTGTACCTGGTTCCTTCTGGGCAGTTAGCAGACCACAGCAGTTCACCATTGTACCTGTACATTAAGGAGATTGGAGAATTCTTT